AATAATTATATGGGAACAAATATGAGCAAACAAAATATGGCAAAACTGTTGATAAATTAGAAAACCCTTTTATTTTTGCAACCTATCTTGCATGGAAACTCTCTCCGAGGTCCGTTTCTCGTTTCCGAAACGTTTCAGAAACGGAAACTCTCGGAAACAATAAGAAACGTCACGGAAACGCGTTTTTTAAAAATCTCTGTTTGGAAACACGATGAAAACTCATGTTTCCGTTTTGGAAACATGACAAATATTTTTTTTTACTTTGGAAACTTAATAAATAAATATCATGGAAATATTAAGATTTATGATACATATAAATAATTTTGGGAGACTCGAGTTTTAAGATCTTTTTCTCCACAAACCAGATTTGGAGACAGTTTTATATAATCTTTGATGGAACTAATGAAAATGAGAATGAAAATGTTGGTCTAAATATTTGAACTTGAGCCTTTAGATCTTAATTTTTTGGAATTTAAGTTAAACTATTTAATATTTTATGTTTTGGATTTGTGTTGTTTAAAACATATTTTTTTTAAAAATTCTTTTATGTTTGGTGTTATATATATATATATATATATATGTGTGTATATGTTTCCAAAACGTTTTCATTCTCTAACTTTAAAAAAAAACCGTTTCCCGTTTTCGAAACGTTTCGTTTCCGCGTTTCCGTTTCCATGCAACATAGTTTGCAACAATTAGATGATAGCATATAAAATTTAAACAAAAAGCTATCAAATATAATGACATCTATTTGTAACTAAAAAAGAATTAAATTTATGTTATTAAAAAAGCACTTGCCATAAAAAATCATTCGTTTTTGCAAATATTTCGGTTAATTAAAACATTAATTTTAATCATTTAGAAATGTAAAGGACAAAAATATAAAAAGTTGACCCCACTTGGACATAGTCACATAGGTGCATACTGCATACTATTGGTACACACAGGTGTCCTTCGGTAGGAGCTAGTAAATTTTTTAATTTTTTTTTTTATGGAGCTAGTAATTTCACAATCCATACGGATCATACCTTCATGTATATATAGATATAGACCTGCTTTTTAATCCTATACATATATACAATAAATTACAAAATGTAATACGAGCATCTAGAAATTTATGTGTAATTGTTTATAAGAAAATTAAAAAGGGAAAATCTAAAGAATATATAAAAATAGTAAGATCAATAACGTACTATTTATGGGCAGAGATACTATACTCTAATACATATGAAGAGTGTTTACTAAAACGACGGGGCGTGTCAGTGAGTTGAGTGGGAAAGGTCACCATCAATACTCAAGGTTCCAGTCGTCGGTGGTCGGTTGAGATAGCAAAGTCTTCTTAAGGCCCATGGGTCCTAGCTCGTTATACCATCATCACATCTGTCACGTGATCATTGGGCCCACTAGGCCCATCTCCCATCAACATCTCATAGCTCTCGTCTATCATACTTCCATTTATTGTACATAACACACGCATACTCACATACATACAAATACATACACATACGGCTGGGTAACAAACAGATTGTGATATGTTTTGATTTGGATAGATTTTTGTAGAGTTGTTTTCGATATGAAAAATGGATGTGTTTGTTTCATGTGAATGTAGAAATATGATTTAGTGATTTATATTGAAATATCGAGGATAGTTGCGGATGTTGATTTCGATCGATCATCAATTTCATTGTCTAAAAGATCTTATTTGTGAGTACCAAATCATTTGTGGTATTGAATGCTTTTTTTGATGTACCAATTTCTCTTTTTGTGGTGCTCAACGATTTAACATATATAGGATCAGAGTACCATAATTGGCGGTGGTACAGATCTTACAATAATATGATTTTATGGAAAACATAATGATCATTTTTTGGATTAGAAGAAAAAAATCATTACGCCATATGATTTTTTTTTTTCCGCCATATGAATTTTACTAGATTATCATGTTTACATGTCCTATTTTAATTTATTGAATTACTTTTTGTTTCAACAAACAAATTTACTTGTGATCACATATTCATGCAATGCACAAACAACAAACACTAATTATCACGGACCATCCATGGTATTAAGAGAGCAGAAGATGATGACAAATGAGATGAGAGCTTCGATTTTTTCACGTCAACTTACAAGGCCCGTACTCAAAAAGCCTCTTAAGGTCCAACCCCAAGATTTGAGGACTCTGATTTTTGATTTATGAGTCTTGACATACCAATAAGTTAACAACTGTGTTAAGCAAAAACGTTATTCGGAAAATAGAAACGATGTTCCGCTGAGCCAAGTGTAGGTAAAAAAAATTTACATTTTAAGCACTATTTAATCTAATTCAGTAAGAGAATGTTTGATGAGATCCTAGAAAGATGCTAAAATATTTCAAGAAACCTAAGAAAGAAAAAACTAGAAAAACTAATAATTTTAATGTTCGAAAAGTTGAACTAAAACACTCTTTGAATAGCAAATTCTTTCGAATAGTGACTATTTTATCATGACATGATGTCTGCAAACCAACTAGTAAGATTTCTTTTACCCTGCAAACAATTAACCCTCTTCCTTTTATCTTTCTTAATTAATTTTATTCTAGCCATTCTTCCTAAATTAAAAGAAAATTTTCCAAAGTCGATCTATATTACAAATTCAAGTTTAAGCAGTCTACCTAAATTACTAAGAAGATTTATTTCCATTTCAAATTTATCCTACAAATTGAATTTTAAGTTTTTAACTATTATACCTAAATTACTTAGATTGATTTCCATCTTAACTATTTATCCTAAACTACAATGCAATACAAAATTAATTTTAAATACTATACCTAAACTACAATACAGATTCAATTTTAAGAATTCCACTTAAACTACAATACAAATTCAAGTTTAACTATTCTACCTAAACTACAATACAACAATTTTAGTTTTTAACGGTGCGTATGCATATAATTACCTATTCTTATATAAATTTAGTATATACATATACACACATCAAATATCGTACTAAATTGATCAAATTCCGAAAGTAAAAAAGAAACCGATTATGCGGACATTTTTTTGACACGAAATTACTTAATTATGCGGGAAATTATCTGATTTTTAATATTTAAATTAATAAATTTCAAATTACAAAAATGAATTTAATATAGAAGTATATAAAAGACAAAAACCTAGTCTTCATAAATTGATTCTAATATAAAAAGTTGACAAAAAAAAAAACCAAGATAGTACAATGACAATCATAGTCAATAGATTGAGTTTTCAAAAAAAAATTCAAAAAAAAAAAAAAAAACTGAAGACGTATGACGAGCGAGAGTGCTACATCTCCGGCGATTCGGCCTCCGCAGGTGGAGCAGCCACCGCCGCAGGAGATTCCAGTCATCTCTGAACATATTTCCGCCGCTCCTCCCTCTCCGGCGGCACAAATTACGGTATTCTCTCCGCTCTCTGTGCTCTCTCACAGAGTAATTTACACGATCTATAAAACTCTGACTGTATTGCAGATGATGGATATTGTGAATAGCAATGGAATTTTAACAGATCAACTGGTTGTTGAAGAACCATCCTTTTACAAGTAATTTTGCTTCCTTTTCTTTGTGGTGCAATTGAAGAACCTAAAATTGAATGTTCACAAATACCAATTTCATTCTTAGGTATCTGGATAGCGATGAGTATGCTGAGAAGTATCGAAGATATGAAGCTGACTTTA